CGTGATGCAAACCAGATACTACAGCCACATCACCTTTCTTAGTCCATCCCTGCCTCTTTGACCTGTCTGTTTCCTCTCCACCTATCTTCTCTCTGTCCATCTTCTATCCGCCTCCCCCTCTCTCCCTATTTATTTCAGAACCCCCTTCCCCTCCCCCATTTCTGATGAAGGGTCTAGGCCCGAAACATCAGCCTTCCTGCTCCTATGATGCTGCTTAGCCTGCTGTGTTCATCCAGCTCTACACCTTGTTATCTCAGATTCTCCAGCATCTGCAGTTCCTACTATCTCCGGACCCAAAACTTCAGCTTTCCTGCTCCTCTGATGCTGCTTGGCCTGCTGTGTTCATCCAGCTCTACACCTTGTTATCTCGGACTCCAGCATCAGCAGTTCCTACTATCTCTGAGTGAGTTTTAACCCCAGGTTTGGGGGTTTTCCAGCTCCGCCTTTGCGTTAAGAAATTATTGGTCGCACATTTGCCCACAAACACACTGCAGTGGGAGCTGTTAGCTTTTGAATGAAGTGATAAAGTGAAAGCCTGCCTGAACAATCAGGTGGATGTATAATCTTCCAGGGTACTGCTTCAAGGAATAGTGGGGTGTTCTCCATCAGGTACTGAGCACCCCACCATTTCCTGTTGTGGAGTGTTGCTGTGTGCAGTTCAGTTCCTGTGATGTCAAGTTCAAAGTTGCCACAATCCAGAGGAGCTGTTGTTGTGGTAATATAACGGCATCTAAATTCCTCATTGAATTTCGTTGACTTTGCTTTCCTCTTTTCACCCCTTTCTCTTAAAAGCCCCAACACTAGGCAAATCCTGATAACTGAGGACTCTTTAACCGAAAAAAAACTCAAGGACTTTCGCTATACCTTTCCCAAGGCCACTCTGTCACGTACCACGTAAATACACAACATCATCTGTATGTTTGACTAAGGTCTTGTGCAAATAGAGACATATTTTCTGTTCTTTATTTAATTGTCCTTTAAAGTAACTATTGCTTTAATGACAATCTCATAAATCCGGTCATAAGTTTTCAGGGTGGTGTAGAATAACCCAGACCATCAGCCTGCTCAGATAGATTTCAATCAGCTCAGAGTTGATTCCATCTGACTGTATTTATATTGGAAGCATTTGCAGATACAGCCACCAAGAGTCAGGAAGTATTTGTGGGCTAAAAATCAAGAAACTGTGAGCTCACAATTCCACCAAATTTCCAGTTTGTGAATTTGAATTCAATGGAAAAGGAAACCTTGAAATAAACTGCTTTTCCTTGTTTTTTTTGTTCATTTGTGGAATGTGGGCATCTCTGACAGGTCCAGCATTTATTACCAATCCCTAAATGCCCTTGAGAAGGTGGGGGTTAGCTGCCTTCTTGAACCACTGCAGTCCATGTGCTGTAGCTTAGACCCACAATGCCCTTACAGAGGGAATTCCAGCATTTTGACCCAGCGACACTGAAGGAATGCTGATACATTTCCAAGTCAGGACAGTGAGTGGTTTGGAGGGGAGCTTGCAGGGGGTGGTGTTCCCATATATCTGCTGCCCTTGTCCTTCTAGATGGAAGTGGTTGTGGATTTGGAAGGTGCTGTCTGAGGATCTTTGGTGAATTTCTGCAGTGCATCTTGTAGATAGTACACACTGCTGTTACTGAGCGTCGGTGGTGGGGGGAGTGGATGTTTGTGGATGTGGTGCCAATCAAGCGGCTTCTTTATCCTCGATGGTGTCAAGTTGTTGCTGCACCCATCCAGGCAAGTGGGGAGTATTCCATCACACTCCTGACTTGTGCCTAGTAAATGGTGGACAGGCTTTAAGGAGTCAGGAGGTCAGTTACTTGCTGCAGTACTCCTGGCCTCTGATCTGCTGTTGTAGTCACTGTGTCTTTCTGGTGAGTCCAGTTCAATTTTTGATCAATTGTAATCCCAAGGATATTGATAATGGGGTTACAGTGATAGTAATGCTTTCTATGGTGCATTTATAAAACTTGCCAAGAGTGATTGTGGAGTACTGAATTTCCTTTGCCTCCTGAGAAAGTAGAGGTGTTGGTGTTCTTTCTTAACCATAACATTGATGTGGAATGACCAGGACAGATTGTTAGTGATATTTATGCCTAGAGATGAAGCTCGACCATCTCCACGTCAGCACCACTGAAACAGACAGGGGTGTATTCTCCTCTCCACTTCCTGAAGTCAATGACCAGCTCATTTGTTTTGCTGGCATTAAGATGATTGACCTCCAACAGCCACAACCATCTTCCTATTATTCAGGTATGACTGCAGCCAATGGAGGGTTTGCCCCTGATACCCACTGATTTCAGTTTTGTTAGGGTTCTTTGATGCTACTTTCGGTCAAGTGTGGCCTTGATATCAAGGGCTGTCACTTTCACCCCACCTCTGGAATTCAGCTCTTTTGTCCATGTTTGAACCAAGGCTGTAATGAGATCAGGAGCTGGGTGGCCCTGGTGGAACCCAAACTGGACGTCACTGAGCAGCTTATTGCTGAGCAGGTGCTGCTTGATAGCACTGTTGATGACACATTCCATCATTTTACTGATGATCGAGAGTAGACTGATGGGGCGGTAATTGGTCGGGTTGGATTTGTCCTGCTTTTTGTGTAAGGGTATTTTCCATATTGTCGTGTAGATGCCAATGATGTAACGATACATCAACTTGGCTGGGGATGCAGCAAATTCTAGAGCACAGCTCTTCAATACTATTGCTGGAATGTTGTCAGGGCCCTTAACATTTGCAGTATACAATACTTCGAATCATTTCTTGATATCACATGGAGTGAATCGAATTGGCTGAAGACTGGTATCTGTGATGCTGGGGACCACTGGAGAAGGCTGAGATGGATCATCCACTTGGCACTTCTGGCTGAAGATTGCTGCAAATGCTTCAGCCTTATCTTTTGCACTGATGTGCTGGGCTCTTCCATTATTGAGGGTGGCGATATTTGTGGAGCCTCCTCCTCCAGTGAGTTGTTTAATTGTCCACCACCATTCACAACTGGATGTGGCAGGACTGCAGAGCTTAGATCTGATCCATTGGTTGTGGGATCGCTTAGCTCTTTCTATCACTTGCTGCTTTCGCTGTTTGGTGTGCAAGTAGTCCTGTTTGGTAACTTCACCAGGTTGATACCTCATCTTCAGGTATGCCTAGTACTGCTCCTGGCATGCCCTCCTGCACTCTTCATTGATCCAGGGTTGATCCCCTGGCTTGATGGTAATGGTTGAGTGGGGGATATGCCGGGCCATGAGGTTACAGATTGTGCTGGAGTACAATCCTGCTGCTGTTGATGGCCCACAGTGCCTCATGGATGCCCAGCCTTGAGTTGCTAGATCTGTGCGAAGTCTGTCCCATTTAGCACAGTGATAGGGCAACACAACATGATGGAGGTTATTCTCAATGTGAAGGCGGGACTTTGTCTCCTCCATAAGGACTGTGCGATGGTCACTCTTACTGATACTGTCATGGACAGATACAACTGCAGCTGGCAGATTGGTAAGGATGAGGTCAAGTATGTTTTTCCCTCTTGTTGGTTCCCTCACCACCTGCTGCAGACCCAGTCTAGCAGCTATGTCCTTTAGGACCTGACCAGCTCGATCAGTAGTACTGCTGCTGAGCCACTCTTGGTGGTGGACATTGAAATCCCCCACCCAGAGTACATTTTGTGCCCTTGCCATCCTCAGTGCTTCCTCTAAGTGTTGTTCAACATGGGGAAGTACCAATTCATCAAACTAGGGAGGATGGTACGTGGTGATTGGCAGGAGGTTTTCTTCCCCATGTTTAACCTGATGGCATGAGGCGTCAGGGAGCCTGGAGTCAATGTTGAGGACTCCTAGAGCAAATCCCTCCCGACTGTATACCGCTGTGCCGCCCCATCTGCTGGGTCTGTCCTGCCAGTGGGACAGGACATATCCAGGGATGGTGATGGTGGTGTCTGGGACATTGTCTGTAAGGTATGATTCTGTGAGTATGACTGTGTCAGGCTGTTGCTTGACTAGTCTGTGAGACAGCTCTCCCAATTTTGGCACTAGCCCCCCAATGACGACAACTTTTCAGGGCTGCCAGGGCTGTTTCTGTTGCTATTTTTTTTCATTGCCAAGGTGGTTTACTCTGTATCTAACCCAGGGCTATTTCTGTCCTTGGAGCGTTTGATGGGGATAGTGTAGAAGAAGCTTTACTTTCAGTTAAAAGAAGAAAGGAGACTGTACTGTCACTCTGAAAGAATAGAGGGAGTTCTAATCTGTATTTAACTCTCTGCTGTAGTTGCTGTAATATTACTTGAAATAGACACTGCATGATTTTTATTAGAATGTATTTTCCAGATCACTTCCAAAAAAACTTTATCTCAAAAAAAGTTTATTTTCAATGTGCACATCATAAAAACAGAAGCAAAACTTACATTCCTATAGCCATTTACATAATTACAGGACAGCCCACTGAGTTTCACAGTAATTATGAAGTTCTGTTTGTAATGCAGACACTGTTGTAATACAGGGAATGCGGCAGGTTTTTTTTTGCACAGCAAGATCCCACAGACTGCAATGCCATAAACAATGAGATAATCTTTTTGTTGTGACTTTTCTTCAAAATATTGCCACAGAATCCTTGATATCCAGCTGAGTGTGCAGACTGGACTTCAGTCCAATGTCCCAGCTGAAAGACAGCGTCACACTCTCTCAGTGCCTCCCCTGGGAATTTCAGCTGCTTTTATGGGCCAGTGTTATTGGAGCAGGACTTGTATCACACTCAGAACACACTGAACTGAGGGGAGGCAACAGATTAGTGGTATTATTGCTGGACTGTTAATCCAGAGACCCAGGCAGTGTTCTAGGGACCCGAGTTTGAATCCTGCCAAAGCAGGAATCTGGAATTAAGAGTCTAATAATGACCATTGTCGATTCTTGGGGAAAATCCCATCTGATTCATTACTGACGTTGAGGGAATGAAACTGCCATCCTTACGTGGTCTGGCCTACATGTGACTCCAGACCCACAGCAATGTGGTTGACTCTTAACTGCCCTCTGGGCAATTAGAGATGGGCAATAAATGCTGCCTAGCCAGCAACACCCTCGTCAGTGAATGAAGAAAAAAAACTGCAACTCAGAATTCCAGGATAACTGGGAGCAGCAGCCTAGGATGCTGAAGGTGAGACTCACCATCCTGACTTGGAAATATATCATTGTTCCTTCTGTGTGGCTGGGTCAAAATCCTGGATATTCGATCCCTAACAGTATTGTACACTCTGTTCAGCACATGGACTGCAGCAGGATAAGGAAGCAGCTCACCCCCACCTTTGCCAGGAAAAATAGGGGAGGGCAATAAATGTTTGCTCAGCCAGTGACGCTCATATCCCATGAGAGAATTATCAAAACAAGTGGCCAGGACACCCTCCTGAACATGGTCCTCACCACTTTTGGAGGGGGTGGGAGTGCAGTCGTTGAGGGTGGGGTGGTTTCGGGGGGAGAGGGGAGTGGTTCTTGCACATTCCCTTTTTACCCTCATTACATCACTAACTGCCTCTACCGAGTGAGATTCTGGCAGCAACCCAGAGTTTGTGCACATTACACCCACTAAAAGCAGAATTACAAAAAATCACAGAATTGTTATGGGGCAGGAAGAGGCCATTCAGCCCTTCATAATTGCTCATGGTTGAAAAAGTTGATATCTAAATGCAAATGTTTCTATTTTCCTCGATATTAATTGAGTCGGGCTTTCAGTAATTGCCTTTGGAGCTGCATTCAGAGTCATATTCTTGGATTCGCTGTTTGATGTATGAGAGTTTATTCTTCAAATACATGCATCGGTCTTTTTTCTCCACAAAAGCAGGGTCCTGTTTCAGAAAATAAACTTTCGTTAGAGGAAAGAAAAGTCATCACATGGATTGGGAAGTCAGCTGAAATAAGTCTTTCTGTCTCAGTGAACCCGTTCAGAAAGGGGATTAGAATTAGAATTAGAAACAGAGCCAGCTATAGCCACCCCTTTCTCACCTCTGTGTTGGGGGACCCTGGTCTCAGATACAATTCCATGCTCGAGTCCAACACTGTCAGTGCAGCCCTGAGCTAGTATTGGAAAGGACCTGCTTGTATATCTGTGCGATGTGCTGAATGGCCTCCTTCTGTGCCATAAATATTTCATGTTCCTGAGAAACTCTGATGCAACACAAACTGGGTGAACCCAAATTCAGGGGAGGAAAATCATGGAGTTCAGATTGCTCACTGTATTTTACAGTCGACAGATACAACCTGAACTCTCAAATGTTCCTGAATCATTCATATTTTCCAATTAATTTAAAGCTTCTGTGTAAGAGCAGAGCGGCTGTGGGACCATTAGGGCATAGGAGCAGAAGTAGACCATTCAGCCCATTTAGTCTGTTCTGCCATTCATTGAGGCTGATGGCTGATCTGATCATCCTCCCCTCCACTTTGCTGCCTTTTCTCCAAAATCCTGCATTCCCCTTACTGATTTATAATGTGTCTGTCTCTCAGCCTCAAATATACTTAATGATCTGACCAATACACAAAGCCGGTGCAAAGTTTGTGATTGGTCAATGCCTGACTAAGGTAACATTTTGGGGAACTGGGTATGAATCCCACCATGGCAGATTGAATTCGAATTCAATAAAATTCTGGAATGAAAGGTCAAATGATGATCATGAAACCATTGTCGGTTGTTGGAAAAACTCATCTGGCTCATGAATGTCCTTTAAGGAAGGAATCCACCATCTTTACATGGTCTGGCCCACATGTGATTCCAGACCCACAGCAATGTGGTTGATTTTCAAATGCCTTCTGGATAATAAATGGTCACACAGCAATAAATTAGGTTGGATCTCAAACAATGACAAGACAGAAAGCAGGAAAAAGATTGAGTGCTTGGTGGCATGGTGTAAAGACAGCAATCTCTCCCTCAATGTCAGCAAAACAAAACAGCTGGTCATTGCCTTCAGGAAGCAGAGTGGAGGGCACGTCCCTGTCTGTATCAATGGTGCTGAGGTGGACATGGTCAACAGTGTCAAACTCCTGGGAGTGATGATCACCAACAATCTGTCCTGGTCCACTCATTTTGATGCAATGGTTAAGAAAGCACAACAACGCCTCTACTTCCACAGGAGCTTAAGGAAATTTGGCATATCCATGATGACTCTTATCATTTTTTACATATGCACCATAGAAAGCATCCTATCAGGATGCATCACAGTGTGATATGGCAACTACTGTTCCCAAGACCACAAGAAACTACAGAGGGTTTGTGAACACAGCCCAGTCCATCATGTAAGCCAACTGTCCATCCATTGACTCCAACTATACCTCTTGCTGCCTTGGGAAAATAACCAATATAAGCAAAGACCCCTCCCACCCCAGTTATGCTCTCTTCCACCCTCTTCTGTCTGCAGAAGATATAAAAGTTTGAAAACACATACAGATAAATTCAAGAACAGCTTCTCTGCCGCTGTTATCAGACTTTTGAATAGACCTCTCAAATATTAATTTTGATGTCTCTCTCTGCACCTTCTCTGTGGCTGTAACACTCTGTTCTGCTACCACAATGCACTTTGTGTGCTACAGTCTGCCTGTAGAGCACACAAAACAACACTTTTCACTCTATCTTGGTACATGACAGCAATCAATCAATGGCCACAACCCATGAATGAATATAAAAAAGCCACCGACATCATTGGCTACACTGCCAGCACTGAACAATCAGATAAGAAGAATCAATTCCAGACACTCAAATACAGAAGGCATTGCCATTTCATTTTTATCGCCTCATTGAATCTGATTTTCTGCTGATTCTAAAATGAGTTTTTCTAAATTGAATTCAGATACAGATCAGCCATGATCTAATTGAATGGTGGAACAGGAAGAGCCCAGACTCCCAATCCAATTTATTACTTTTCTTACTCCCTGTCCATCTTGTCAACACGCCTGTTGTGTTGGAGAATACTTACTTCAATTTTCTCCTTGTAATCCTTAAGGATCTTCATTATTCGTTTGTGTTCCTGGAAAGCGAGAGGGTGGGGTTAGAATCTGAGAAGATGTATAGAGTGGTGGTATTGTCGGTCGATTAACAGCACTGCTTGGTGTGTCTCTGGATAATTCTTTGGTTCAGTCAGACTCGTGAACCTGAACTGTACTCAGAGTGTAATTGCCCGGGTGTCCCTGTGATTTTAACTCTCTGACTTAATTCCTGTCACTGTGGGACACTTGGAGAGAAAACCTTTTTTGGTTTCTCCTTCTTTAGGCCCCTTCATCATTTCTCTCACGTACAGATATTCTATTCTCTTTCTTCCTTGCCCATCAGAATGCTGTCTGGGAGGGGTCAGTGGGTAAATGGAGCCTTCCATGGAGCCTCACAGGTAACTTAGGGATGAAGGCCAGTTGATCTCTGACTGGGTATTCATAGGTCTGTTATAATTGATGTTAGCAGCCTTTGGACTCAGAGCCCAGGTTGGAGATGGGGCAAGGGAGAAGAACAGGAGTTAGTCATGGAGCCCTGATCCAGGTACTCTTTCCAGATGCTGTAGGGGAAGTGGTGTTATAGTGGTAATGTCACTGGACTAGTAATCTAGAATTTGGACTAACGTTCTGGGGTCAGAGGTTCAAATCTCAAATATTGGAATTCACTATTTTAATGGTGACCGTATAACAACTGTTGATTTTTGTTAAAAACCCATCTGGTTCACAAAGGAAACTTCCATCCTTTGCAAGTCCTTGGCTCCCTGAAAGTGGCTACACAATTGGTAAAGGTGGTAGAGAAGACATTTAGCACACTTGCCTTCATCTGTTGGGGCATTGAATATAAAATTCGGAAAGTCATGTATAAACTTTAGTTAGGCCACATTTGGAGGTATTGTGTGCAGTTCTGGTCACCACACTATAGGATGTGGAGGCTTTGGAGAGGGTACGAAAGAGGTTTACCAGGATGTTGCCTGGATTGGAATGTATTAGCTCTCAGGAGAGGTTGGATGAACTTGGATTGTTTCACTAGAGCATTGGAGGCTGGGGCAGAGTGGGGTGACCTGATAGAAAAATATAAAATAATGAGAGGCATAGATAGTGTGGATAGACGGGAGTCTTTTTCCTAGGGTAGAAATGTCAAATACTAGGGGGCAGAGGTTTAAGATGAGCGGGGAAATGTTTAAAGGAGATGTGTGAGGCAGGTTTTTTACGCAAAGGGTGGCAGGTGCCAGGAATTCGCTGCCAAGGAAGGTGGTAGAAGCAGATCTAATAGCGACATTTAAGAGGCATCTTGGCAGATATATGAATAGGCAGGGAACAGAGGCATATGGACAATGTGCTGGCAGATGGGATTAGTTTAAAAATGGCATCATGGTTGGCACAGATATGGTGGGCTGAAGGGCCTGTTCCTCTGTTCTATGTTTTATGTTCTACGTTTACCAGGTGTGGCCTGCATATGACTCCAGATACCACAGTAATTGACTCTTAACTGCCCGCTGCCCATCTGGGAATGGGCAATAAGCACTGGCCTGGCCTATCCCACAAACGATTAAAATAAAATGTCAGGTGCACAATCTGACAGAAATCTGAGACTGAATATTCTTGCATTAATCACTGCCTCGCCTGGATGTGCAAGTGATTGTTAACAGTGGTTGGAACTCCCATGGACTGTGCACTCAGCCAAGCCAAGCCCTTCCTTGAAATTCTTCAACAAACTCTCCAACACACAGCAACTGTGGGCTTTTTGAAACCAGTGGAATATTTTTCAATCCTTATCAACTCTTTATCAGTAGCTCAGAGACCAAGAAACAGAAACAGAGAGTTGTTAAATATTTGCTGCTAACAGATGGTGTGTGTTGGGCCCTGCTCTTATGCACAAACATTAGTTCCTGACTCATCAAGCGTCTTTCTCTGGTGCACATAGCAGAGAGACAAGAGGGGCCCTGTGTTTTCTATCCTGACTTACACAACCTTGGAAAATCTCAAACTGCTTTACAGCTAATGGGATACTCTGTGAAATATCACCAGCAACATTTAATAGAAATCACGACTGTCTGGGAACCCCCCACCTATGTCCGGGACACCACCCACACCCTCCACCTCCTCCAAGGCTTCCAATTCCTTGGCCCCCAACACCTCATCTTCACAATGGACGTCCAAATCCCTGTACACTTGCATCCCCCACGTGGATGGCCTAAAAGCCCCCCGCTTCTTCCTCTCCCGCAGGCCCAACCAGCCCCCCTCCACCGACACCCTCATCCGCTTAACCAAACTCGTCCTTACCCTTAACAACTTCTACTTTAACTCCTCCCACTTGCTACAGAATAGGGGGGTTGCCATGGGAACCTGTATGGGCCCAAGCTATGCCTGTCTCTTTGTAGAATACGTGGAACAATCCCTCTTCTGTAGCCACAATGGCCCCATTCCCCCACCTCTTCCTCCGTTACATCGATGACTGTATCGGCGCCGCCTCGTGCTCCCACGAGGAGCTCGAACAGTTCATCAACTTTACTAACACCTTCCACCCCAACCTCAAGTTCACCTGGACCATTTCCGATACCTCTCTCTCCTTCCTGGACCTCTCCGTCACCATCTCTAGTAACTGCCTCAACACTGATATCTATTTCAAGCCCCCCGACTCCCACAGCTACCTAGACTACAACTCCTCTCACCCACCCTCCTGCAAGAATGCGATCCCTTACTCCCAATTCCTTCGCCTCTGCTGCATCTGCTCCTAAGATGGAGCATTCCACTCCCGCACATCCGAGATGTCCTCGTTTTTAAAGGGCTGCAACATCCCCCCCACCCATGGCGGTGATTGAAAATGCCCTCAACCGCATCTCTTGTACTTCTTGTACTTCTTCCCTCACACCCCCTCCCCGCAATAAAAATAAAGACAGAATCCCCCCTGTCCTTACATATCACCCCACCAACCTCCGCATCCAGTGTTTCATTCTCTGCCACTTCTGCCATCTACAATCCGACCCCACGACCAAAGATATATTTCCCTCCCCACCCCTATCTGCCTTCTGTAGGGACCGCTCTCTCTGCAACTCCCTTGTCTGCTCCACACTCCCGACTAGCCCCACCACCCCCCGCCCCTTTCCCCGCAAACGCAGGAAGTGCTACACCTGCCCCTACACCTCCCCCCTCACCCCCATCCCAGGAACCAAAAAAACCTTCCGTATCAGACAGGGGTTCACCTGCACATCCGCCAATGTGGTCTACTGCATCCACTGCTCCCGACGTGGCCTCCTCTACATCAGTGAGACCAAGCAGTAACTTGGACACTGCTTTGTACAGCATCTGCGCTCTGTTCGTGACAAACGACAACACCTTCCGGTCGCGAACCATTTTAACTCCCCCTCCCACTCCCTGGACGACATGTCCATCCTGGGCCTCCTCCAGTGTCACAATGACACCACCCGCAAACTGGAGGAGCAGCACCTCATATTCTGACTCGGGAGCCTCCAGCCCAATGGCCTAAACATGGAATTCACCAGTTTTAAAATCTCCCCACCCCCGGCCTCATCCCATGACCAACCCTCCCTCTCATCCCCGCCTCCTTGACCTGACACAACCTGTCCATCTTCTCTCCCACCTATCCACCCCTCCCACCTCACCAACCAATCCCCACCACTACCTACCTGCACTCACCTATCACCATCCCACCTACCTTCCCCAGCCCCCACCCCCCCCTCTATTTATTTCCCAGCTTCCTTCCCCCTGCCCCATTTCTGAAGAAGGGTCCTGACCTGATACGTCAGCTTTCCTGCTCCTCTGATGCTGCCTGGCCTGCTGTGTTGTCTCTGACTCCAGCATCTGCAGTTCTTGCTAACTCCAAGCCAATTAATTACACACCCAACCTCACAAACAGACATGAGATCATGATAACAAAGGATAAACATTGTCCATCAGCTGTGGGGAACTCCCTGCTTGTCCTCAAAACTGGAAGGCCATTGGATCTTTCACATCCACCTGAAGCTGCCAGACTGGGCCTTGGTTTAGCAGTGAAATACTTCTGACAATGCAGCACTGCACTCGAGTGTTATCCTGGATTTTGGAAGCAAAAGACCCAGGTTCATTATTTGAAGAAGGGCAGAGAGGTTCTCCCCACTATCCTGATCAATATTTACCCCTAGACCAGTAGGTTACCTGGTTATTTATTGCTGATTGTGGGAGTTCACTGTACACTAATTGGTTGCTGCATTTCCTTAAAGTTCAACATCAATTACACTTCAAAACAAAATTGATGTGTTGTAAAGAGCTTTGGGATACTCCGATCATGAAAGACATTGTAATGTTTGACTTATTTCTTTATTTTTCTACTTCTGTCACTAAGATTTTGTACTTAGGCACTTTGTACCTAAGATGGTGCTGTGTGTGGCGGTATTGCACACTTTTCACTGTCCTTTTATATCCTGTACTTGAGCACATGTGACAATGAAACCTAAATCTAAATCTAACAAAATGCAAATGTGTTTTTTGTTCTCACCCAACAACTGCACATAATTTCCAGACAGGAACAGACAGCAGGAACCCTAGATTATTCCTTCCGACTGTATCTCAGGGGTTCTGAGGCCAGTTATAGACTTTCTCACTTTCTAACGATCACGACAATAGGAGACTTATTAAAATGGGTGTCTTCCCTCAGGATAAGATACAAGTTTGAGCGCTAGGCTGCTCTAGGCAAGCTATTATCGCAGCTGTCAGGACTCCTGGCCCCTGAATGAGTTCCATCCAATAGTTAGAAGTGTAAAAACACCAGTACTGGACCCAAAACAGTCACAGCATTTTTAACCGTTATGACTTTCTGATCTTGAGATCAATTCTATCTGGTCAGTGCATGTTTACTGGAATTTCATTGATCTCTGATCTAGGCACAAAGGAAAGGGACTGCGATAGAGAGAAAGGGAGTGAGCAATAAAAAGGGAGAGGGAGAGAACAAAATAACTCAAGTGAACAAAGCAAAAAAATGAGACACTGTGTGTCATTGGAACTATCAAAATTAGTTGTTTTTGCTCTGTTCCTGAATAGTGCTGCCAGGCATCCTGGGAAATAGAATATGACAGTAAGGCAGTTATGTTAAAATTATATAAAACACTGGTTTGGTCTCATCTAGAGTACTGAATCCCGTTCTGGACACCAGACTTTAAGAATGATGTGAAGGCATTAGGGACAATGTGGAAAAGATTCACAGGAATACTTCCAGGGTTGAACTTCAGTTCTTTTGACAGATTGGAGAACTTGGGACAATTTGCAGTAAAGAAGGTTGAGAGGAGATTTGAGTGAGGTGTTCAAAATCATAAGGGGTGTGTGGGAGAGATTGTTCTCAGTGGTGGAAGGGTGAGACGCAGAGAGCACAGAATTAAGATAATTGGCAAAAGAAACAACAGAGACCTGAGGAAGAACTGTTTCAGAAAGGAAGTGATTAGGACCTGGAATGAATTGTCTGAGATTGTGGTGGAGGCAGATTCAGTCAGTGCTTTTAAGAGAGAATTAGATTATTATCTGAATAGGAAATAAATACAGGGCTATGAGGGGAACACTGGGGAGTGGAATGAGGTGAATTGCTCCTTGATAAAACTAGCACAGTCAGAATGGGCTGAATGACTTTTCTCTATGGTGTAGTGATCCTAGAATTCTAACTCTGGTTAAACACATTTGTAGAAGTTTCATCAAAGGTCTTTATCTTAAAGAACAAATAAGCAGAGATGATCAAAGGAAATGAAAATAGACAATTGTAATCTCTCTAAGGTTTCTCTGCCTTGTCGCTTGCTGCATTGTCTTCAAGATTGTTTCCCTGATTTGTAGAAACTCCAGGATAATCCTGGAGGGTTGGCAACCCCAATTTGGAAAGGGAAGTGGTTTTTTTTTAACTGACCCACTGACTTATGACCTTCCTGTGCCACTACTGACCTAGTTACTTACTTACCTCTGAACTCTCTGTGTAGCGAGGCAGTTTCTCAATGAGAACTTTCAGCTCTTGGAATTTTTTGTTGGCCACGTGTATCTCAGAGTGTAGTTCCCTGTATTCTGCATATTGGTCATTGAATACTCCTTTATATCTCTCCCGTTCTTCTGCAGACTCAATCTTTGGGTACTTTCTGCAAGAGGACAAAATGCAGTTTACATGTGGTCGGTGTGTGAGCTCACTCTCCATTGTGCTCTGACATCTCACTGTAATATTAATGATTCATTGGGTTACACTCACTAACAAGATGAATGCATTTCCGAGTTACAATCAACAACAGCAACATGTATTTAGATGGCAGCATTAATCAGCTCAGGTTAAAATATAATTCAAGCCTGGCAGTTAACTGTCAATCATCATTAACTGATCAATTCACCACAGCACAGTCTCTACCAGAGTCCACTAGCCAACAATCAGCAATCTCCTCTCATACAGTATGGATGTTGGGTTCTTCTGTGAATTGGTATTTTTGTGAACTGTCCTGATGAAAACTTTCAACAAAGTGTCTTTTTTCAGCATTATTCAAACTCTATTGTACCAAATGCAAATAAATATCCTTACGTTACATAATCAGGAATTATGAGGGGCTTTGGAATATATCCAGCTGGAATGGATTTGTTGAGGGTCCCAGGAGAATTGGAGCAGAGCTGGATGTTTCCGGTGGCCATCTCCTCTCGGGGCTGAGATGTGTTTCTCCTGAATGGCATGTGCTTGAATGAGAATGGCCGTTTCTGTGTCATCATCACTGCAGCTGTTTTACGCTACAAAAGAAAACATCAAATTAGATGGACCAGAAACTCACTGCTGGTAGGAGGTTTGGGGGTGGATAGAGTGAATAAACCCAAATACCAAACTTCATTTGATCAAAATGTTGGCAGGTTTCATTCTCAAGTCATGTCACTGGACGCCAATTGGGAGCGGAGAGTCTGGCTCATGCTCCCTCCCCTACTCTATCTCAATCCAATTGTCCTTTGTTGCCCTTAGAGGCACAAACACAGTGACCATGTGCATTCATATAACATGTCTAATGGAGCAAACACTCTGAGGTGCTCCGTAGGAGAGCTAGCAGGTAAAAGTAGACAGTATATTAAGACAGTTGATAATAGATTTTAAGGAACATCTTATAGAAACAGACAGGGTTGGAGAAGTTTAGAGAGGAAACTCTAGGGCATGTGGTTGAAGCAGATAAAATTACCAATGATGCAATGATGGAAATCAGGGATCTACAGAGGTCAGAATTAGAGGAGTGTAAAAATCTTACAGGGCTGTGAGGCTGGTTACAAAAATGGTCATATACTTATTTATCAGATACAGTAGAGACTTTTTAAGTGACTCTTGGATAGGCACATGGATGATAGTATAATGTAGGGTATACAGGGTAGTTTGATCTTAGAGTAGGATAATAGATCGGCACAACATTGTGGGCCAAAGGGCCTGTACTATGCTGTACTGTTCTATGTTCTGTAATTGGTCCAATAATCGATCCCTCCTCATGGGGTGATTAACACAATGGGTTGGTTGATTTAAGACATTAAGACACAAGTTATAAACAGATATGACTTCAGACAGCTGATTTCTGTTTGCATGCCTACAGACCCCCAGCCAGACAGAGTCAAAACATTGTATAAACACAGCACATGGAGGCATTAAAAGTGAGGTCTCTTAAAGGAGACATACACAAGAAACAGGGAGGTGGTGACACCACGCAGGGAGACAGAAGTAAGGATAACAGTAGCTCTGAGAAATAAAAGATACATTTTGTCAATGGTTTTGGTCCAGCACTTGTCTCAACAATTCACAAAAAAAACAATTCAAGGGGAAAGCCTACAAATCTCTGTGGGAACTCCCCTGCCAATCAGAGTCCACCTGCCCACCAATCAGCACTTTCCTCTCTCACTGTGTAAATATTGGTCTTTTCCTGGAATTGGTATTCTCGCAAGTTGTCCTGATGAATGTTAGATGGAAAATTTCAACACAATGTACTTTTTGTTTTAGCAATGTTTAAGTTCAGTACGACCAAATGACTATAAGGAATCTTAAACTGGAGTATTGCTGGACTGGGAGCTAGGGTATGGGCGGGAGTGCTGAGTACAGGAGATGATGAGGGAATGGGGTTTTGTCTGAATTAGGAATGTGGAACAGACAGGGGGGTAGACTGTTGGGCAGGAGGGTGTTGGGGGCAAGGTGTTGGAGTGGGTATTGGGGAGGAGGGTGTTGCAGGGAGACTGGTAGGGGAAGGGTGTTGGGGTGAAGGGTATGAGCGGAGTGTGTTTGGGAAGGGTGTTTGGGGGAGTGTGTTGAGGGGAGAGTGTTGGGGGATAATGTGTGAGGTAGGTGTTGGGGGAGGGTGTTGTGGGGAGGGAGTTGGGGGATAATGTGTGGGGAAGGGTGTTGGGGGATAATGTGTGGGGGAGGGTGTTGGGGAGAAGGGTGTTTCCGGGATGGTGTTTGGGGGAGGGTGTGGGGGGAGGTTTTGTTGGGAGGGTGTTGGGGGGAGGTTTTGTTGGGAGGGTGTTGGGGGGAGGGTGTTGTGGGGTGTGGGGTTGGTGGTGGAGATGGTGTTTTGGTGGGACGTCTGGAAAAACATAAATTGAATCTGGACTTAAAAGGAACCTTGGTGAAGGTTTCAGTTGTAGATGGCTGAGGCAGGAGCTGAGTTAGGGGAACATTGCAACGGTGAAGGTGGGTGTTCATGTGACACGGAAGATTTGGAAATGAACTGCAGCAGTTCAGGAAGGCAGCTCCCCACCACTTTGTCAAAGGCAAACTAATGCTGGCCAGCCAGCAACACCCATATCCCATGAGTGAATATAAAAAGCTCAGCTCTGGGTCAAATAAAGTAGCAAGGTTGTGAAGAATGTGGTTCAGAGTCAGGCCGTTTCCCAGGTAGAGGTAGGTTTGGTAATTAAGGAATAGAATTTGTAGTGAGTCTGAATGTAATAGTTTCACGTTCCCAATATTTAATTGAAGGAAGTTTCTGCAGATCAGCACTGGTTCTTGGATAAACTCTCCAATAACTGAGTAACTGTGGAGGAGCTGAGAGAGATAGTGGTGAGTTAGAGATGGGTGTCATTATTATTGTCACAATGACAAAAAATATTGTCTATTGTTCCAGAAACACTTTATCCAAGTTAATATCTGGGACCTTCATGAATTGACAGGTTTTAAAATGGACAAAAAGGCACAAGCTTTATCTAACCACACATTTTGGCCAAGTTTCATGAAACCACCACAAGACTAAACAAAAGACAACCAGAACTAAAATTAACATTTTTTTTCCTCAAGTCAATGAAACCACTCAAACATCTCAACTCTTGAAAAAGTCCTTATCACTTATCTGATTTGCACCATTGTGAGAATCTTCACATTTTGGAGATGAAACATTGCCTACAGACAGAACACATAAACAGGAGCTTTTTTGTAAGAACCAGAAGAGTTGGATTTTTGACTACTGTATGCTTGATGATATTTTGATTGGAGAAAATATAGATGAGTGCTAAAACAGAATTCAGAATTTTTGATGTGACAGATTGGAAAGGCGGAGGAGAGGGGAGCTAATTCACTCCTCCTCACCTGGTCATAATGGTATACATATAAAACTAACACAAGACTTTCAGATGAAGTGACTGAGGGGTAGTGGTAGATGAGAAATATCAAGTGGCAAGGAAATTGGGGACACCAGAGGTAATGGCGTGGGAATAGGAAGAGAAGCCATTGTAAGTAATTCTCTGCCTACCATTGGATTGATAAGAGCTGAACAAGCAGAGAGCAGTCACACCCAGCTAGATGGTGTTGGGGGAGGTTGGCACTGGGAGAGGATAGAGATGGGGTTGGCTGGTGTAGTCACCATCTCCAAGGTAATAGACAAGTTGAAAAGGACAAGAGGAAACATTTAACACAGTTACAAAAGAAAACAAATCATTTGTGATTTTGATAAGAATGGTTTCAATTCTGTGTCAAACATATATCTGTGTTCGTCTTCACTTCTACCAATAAACT